GGCCAATGTGAAAGATTTCGAGTCAATTGGCATTTCTGCGCAGAGTTGGTGATAGTGAAGAATTTGTTTTTTCATTTAAGGCAAGCTCAATGCACGTTCTTGCAAGGGCTAATACCACCGGAAATACCATCCTTTAACGAAAGTGTCATTAATATTACATCGTTTTCGATATGCCATTTGTATACTAAAATGTTTTCTCCGTTAGTTGGGCTGTTAAACATAACTAGGCGACTTTTCAACGCCCAGTCAGCGCTTAATAGGATCCTACATGGCTCGCTGACGTGGCTTATTTAATGAAATGTAAAAAAAATTAAAAAGTAAAAAAAATTCTCACCTCCCACTGACTGCAGATCCTTCCGTCAAACAAATGACTTCCCCTTCCTTCATCTCCCTCATCCTCTCCTTCCAACCTCCCCTCTCTCTCATCGCCCTCCGCCCTCCTCCCCACCTCCACAACCACCGCTACCACCACCACCACCTCCTTCCTCCCCCACCTCAACCTTCTTTCCCCGCCTTCGACCCCACCGACCGCCGTTGGCTCCGATTCGACCTCTCCTTCCTCCCCTTCCGCTCCCTCCACCCCGTCGCTTCCGCCGCCGCCCTGTACCTGCTCCGAATCATGGGTAACTTTCGCTTCCAATCTCCCTGCGAAACCTAGGAGCCCTATTTTGATCTCCGACTCGGTTTTTGCCCTGTGCGATGTTGGCTCCCCATGGCGATCTCAGTGGAAATTGTTCACCTGTACTTTGAATTTGAATAATTCGGTTCCAGTTCATGAGCAATTGGGTGTTGGTTGTGGGAGTGGGGTGTTCTCTTCGTGTTCCTCGAATCATAACAACTGGGTTTGCTTGGAGAAGCATGAATGGGCGGATATATTCGATCTCATCAAGCGGCCTCGTTTGGTGCGTGGGGATGGGAACAAGCTGCTGATGATTGGTGGGTTAAAGTCGATCTTCTCGTTGAACCCGTCTTGCTCAACGATGCTGATACTTAGGTTGGATTTGGAGAAGTTGGAGTGGGAGGAAGCTGGGAATGATTCTGGAAGTGGGAATGAAGGGGAAGGAGAAGGGGCGGCGTGGAGATGGATAGATGAATAAATAATTTTGTAATATAATAATAAATAAATAATAAATAATATTTTCAAATTTTTTATTCTTTTTTTTCAACGTGGCATCCACTTGTCGCTTACGTGAACACAATGTTGGCCACCGTCAGGTCAACCGTCAAGTCTAACAGTCAACAGAAAATTGCGTAACACAAATGACGCAGACCCCTAATAGGTTGGAATATTTTTGTGTTTATTGAAAGCATGTAATATAAATAGCACTTTCGTTAAAGAATGGTATTTCCAGTGGTATTACCCCTTCTTGCAACTATGGATCTGCTCAAAGCCTTCACAATAACATAATCTACCAATCTGTTCAATTAACTCCTCTTTTGTTTGGATATTTTACATATTTGTCATCATAATAGTCTTAAACTATCCTTATAAGTTAATGTCAACTTTTAGGACTGCATTTTTTTTGGATAAAGATATTAGTTACCAATCAATTGTCATCTAATAATTTATACTTTCTTAATGATACAATTTTAGATGATTGTTGATAACAAAGTTTGAACCCAGTATGTGATTAATTTTAATCCTTCCAGATTACCACTTTAGTGAATAATTATTTGAGTTTTGTTAGAAAATCATATAAGTGCAAGTAAATAATTATGAATCTTATGAAGAAATATTTTTTCAATAATTTACGCTGACAATAAGAAGTGCACAAATTTCTTCTAAAATATGAAAATATATAAAACATATGAAATACTCGCATAAAAGTGTTTCGACACCAAACTCCCATCGCCAGTAGTGTTTCCGTTAACAATTTATAAATTACAAATATGTTGCTATGCAAGATTTTCACTTCCATCATACAACGGAAAGCAGTTAAGACATGAGCAAGGTGAGATTTCATTTAGATGAGTGACCTATTACCTTTTTAAATACCGTAGTTGGGGTACCTAATCAACAAAAATATCTATGAATTAATTACCACTGATGACACAAATAACACAAAATAACTTCCAAATTATGTATAAACTACTTCGACGATTCTAAATCATTTGAAAGCATCGATCATTTAACATTAATAATAAAAACAAAATTCATCTGACCAACGGTCGGGTAAAAGCTAGTTAAAAATTAAAATAGTGTAATAAAAGTGTGAAGATTAAAACTATATAATTGAAATTGTATCGAAACTCTCGAGTTAATTTTTTTTATATGGATGAACATGAAACATAAATTTCTTACAAAAAAAAAAATTCAAGCAGAGCCGACATACACCCTCCCACATAGGGATGGCAACAAAACCCGAACCCACGGGTACCCACCCGACCCAACGCGGGTAAAATCTGTGTTGACGGGTTTTGGGCCGGGTTTGGGTTTAAACCCGCTACACTATTCGCCGGGTCGGGTTGGGTTTGGGTTTAGGTAAACCCGCCCCATGGGTACCCGCCCACACACATATAATTACTTTCCTGGTATATTTAATATTCTAAATAATATATCTTCCTTAAACAACTAATATTCTTTATGTTTGTGAAGACATGTATAATTTATTCTTTCTAATTGTTTAGAATGAAGTTGATATTATGAAGTGGAGAGTGAAGAAACTTAGTTGACGAGGAAGAAGCTTTCAATTAATCTTATTGTTTATAGATGTTTATCTTTAATTTTGAACAATTTGTATTGATCATTTGTGGTTTGCTTGTATGCTCTAGATTGGTGTTTTTTGTAAGAATAATTTGTATGAGAAAATTGATGTTAAACTTTTATTTTGAAAGAAACTTGTTATTGTAATTTTTTTACCACAAAACCCACGGGTACCCATGAACCCGCGGATACTCAGCGGGTTGGGTTGGGTTTGAGTTTTTCAAATCCAGCGGGTTTTATCCCGGATTTGTTTGGCGGATAAACCCGTGAGTTTGGATTTGGGTTTGACAAAACCCGCCCAAGTTTGGGGAGCAGGACTTCTCAATTATAGGTTCCCTGCGTGTCCAGGGCGATGCATATCTATGGATCCACAGAACAGATAAGTGAAAGTCAAATCTCATCTCCATTCTCGATCGGCATCTATCCATCCAGCACAAGGTCAAACTTCAAAAGGTAGGCGAGCCGGGCTCAATGCACGTGCCTCACATGCTTTCCCTCCAAATTTCCAGCCATTGGAGCAATAAACAAACTGTAGTAGCCACACTAGCCTTGATTTGAAATAAGCAGCTTCCTTCCTCCCTCTTGATTTCCCTAGATCTCTAAGTTAGCATTAAATGTTGTATAATAGTTTGGTCCGCATGATTAAAAAATGACATTGGATCAATCTAAATTATGTATTAATATAGTATACCTTCTAATTTTTTATCACGAATGTTAAAGGAAAAGGATCAAATTTATACTAAGATCGAACCAAATCATAAGGTTGAACCACTTAGGCGATCGATCCGATTCTAGTCTAAAACTTTTCTTTATTGTTGGATTTACACCACGCCTAATTGCTACCCTGTCTTTCGTTTATTTTGTAAATGGCATCAATAAGTAATAATCACCGGTGCTATATTCATAAATAAAAAACACATTGACCAGTAGGGATGACAATTTGAACCCGCCCTATCGGGTAATACCCGACCTAACCCGCGATTGGGCGGGTATTACCCAACTCGCATTAGCATGGGGCGGGGCATGGGTATCAATTTCCGACCCGCCCTGGCTCGCCCCGCCCCATTCTTAGCCCGTTCTAGGTCAATTTTTTACCTCATCCATTCATATATCTCCTATTTTGGCTTTTACTCAACTAGTTAGACTTGATCTTTAAACTAAATAGACTCAATTACTTATTATATTATCACTATTATTCATTCATAAAGTTTTTTCCCCTTCGTTTTATCATAAAAAGTAAAATTGTGTGTGTATTTTTCTCAAATAACATGTAAGAGTAGGTCGACCCGTCCCGCCCCGTACCCGCGCGGGTATTACCCGCCCCGACCCGTACGAGAGTGGGGCGGGACATGGGGATTGAGGTACCCGCCCCGCCCGATCCATTGCCATCACTGTTGACTAGTGGGCAGGGCTGCAAACGAGCCGAGTCGAGTCGAGTTTTTGCTTAGCTTGAGCTCGGCTCGTTTATTAATTTTTTAGCTCGAACTCGGCTCGAACTCGAATTTTGATAATCCAGCTCGAGCTCGAGCTCGAGCTCGGCTTGAATAAAAATCATCTAGCTCGAGCTCGACTCGGTAGAGCTTGATAAATGCTCATTAACATAGCTTTGTCAAGCTGAGTACAAGCTCGGCTCAAGATGAGATCGATTTAAAATCATTCTTGATGAAAAAATGTGTAAACATAAGAATTTAAATGATAGAAATAACACTAGAAACTATAAATTACATCTAAATTTCATACACATTTGTATTAACAAGACAATGTTCATGTTTAAAAGAGTAATCCATCCTTTCACAAGCTCTAAACAAGGAAGCTCGCGAGCTTAGCTCAACAAGCCACTGAATCAAGCTAGCTCTCGAGCTTATCAAGCTGAGCATGGTCTAGCTCAAGCTTGGCTTGTTAACTAACGAGTTGGCTCGCGCGCCAGCTTGTTAAATAACGAGTCGAGTGTCGAACGAGTTTTTTCCGATTCGAACGCCGAGTTGCTCGCGAGCGACTTGGCTCATTTGCAGCCCTACCAGTGCCTAACATATGGGTCGGAGAAATGGAGAGAAATGGAGGAGGAGAGAAAGACGGCAGAAGAAGTGCCACTTCTCATTCTTCCCACCACGTGACCCCATGTACGTACACTTAATTTGCTCATCCACATCCCAATATAATTAACCTAATTAATGCCCCTTTATATGATATCAGTTTTCTCTCCACTAGCTAATTAACCACGCTCTTGCATCCATCCTCCTTCTTCGACTCCAGTTCCTTCTTCCCGCTAGCCGTATCCATCATTACCATGGCGTCCATGGCTCGGTGGAGCTTCCTCTTGCTAGCCCTCCTCTGCGCCGCCGTCCTCCCAACACCAACCACCTCCAAGTACGTCGGGAAGCCCTTCGTCGTCCGCGGCCGCGTGTACTGCGACACCTGCCGCTGCGGCTTCGAGACCAACAAGACCACGTACATCCCTGGTACGTACTATACCCTATAATACGCTCTCCCCACACAACAACAACAACTCGAGTTATTGAGACCAACTGTGAAATATGTATGGAATGCGGTCACGCGCAGGTGCGATGGTGGCGATCAAGTGCTTCGACAGGAAGACGATGAACCTCCAGTACAGCGACACGGCCGTGACGGACAGGCACGGGAGCTACGAGATCGCGGTGCAGGACGACCACGAGGACCAGCTGTGCCGGACGGTGCTGGTGAGCAGCCCCTGGGGATACTGCAAGGTCCCCGACGAGGGCCGCCGCAGGTCGGAGGTGATATTGACCCGGTCCAACGGGGCAGTCTCCAACCTCCACTTCGCCAATGCCATGGGGTTCGTCAAGGAAGAGGCCGAGGAAGGTTGCAAGGAGCTCGTCCACCACCTCCTTTACGCCGACGTTTGAAAAAAACTCTCTGACGATGATTAATTAATTGGTTGATTGTTATTTCACTACGCCGTACCTTCATTATTGTTAGCTTTTACGTCGACCGTACGTCGTGACGAATAATCGATCGATCGATCAATGGCTTATTGGTTCGTAATAATTTATATCATTATAGTATCCTGTAATAATGCATGACTGAGATTTTTAGATGATGGCACTAGCTACCTACTTATGTTGTTGTTTAATGTGATAATTGGATATCGATGATATATATGTCCGGAAATTCTATGGTGCCGCATAGGGCAGGTTAGGTTAGGGCGGTATCTCGATACCCATACTTGTTCTGTGGCTGGTCGGATTTTGGTCGGGTACTTTTTTATGAGGCGCGGGTCGGGACAAGTTGACCTAATGGGTATGTAAAATATATGATAAATATAAGAAATATATGTTTTTTTTTATTAAAAGACCAAGAAAAAACCATAATATGATAAAATGTAGTAAAATTATTGAAGAAATTGAAGTTTTTACTTATTTACAAATTTATTATAGCTAAAATATGAGGTAATAAAAGGAAAATCCTAAGTAATTTGAATAAGATTACATGCAATTTAGGCAAGAACGGGTCGAGAATGAGGCGGGTCAGGATAGATCAGGTCAATAAGAGGTGCCCATGCCCGCCCCGACCCGCCTACGGGGCGGGTCGGACCCACCCCAAAACAGGCCAAACAGGTCGGGTAAATCGGGTCAGGTCGAAATTGCCATCCTAGTGCCGCACCTATGCCGCCAATTAATCTGACAGGTTTGGTTTGACAGAATTGGTTCTAATTTGATCAGATAAAAAGTAAAATAAATTAAAAAAAATCTCCTATTTTCCGAGTCCACACTCTTCTGCGTCGTTCAAACTGATCAGTTAAAAACCACCATCGCCACCGTAATCGCCGGCCAGCCGCCTTCGCCGCTGCAAGTCTTCTATATATGAACGAAAAAAATCCAGATCCCGACTCCCGTTGTCAGTCCAAATAACCATCGCCGTCACCGTCGCCGCTAGGCCATCCCCAGTTCACCATCTTGGTGCAGCTGCTAGCCGGAGAATTTTGCCAGAGTTCAATTCTTCTCAGCGGCTGTTGAGCGTCTGGTTATCGAATACACCGAGTGAGGTGAAGAAACAGGGTACGAAGAACACAGTAAATTAATCTACTGTCCCCTAGTGTTAAAGCTTCAGTTGATGGCGATTGATCAATTGAAGATGATGGTGAAATTATTGTTCTGATACTACCTTGCTTTTCCCGGGATAACGCGTCCACAAAATCATAGAGCTATTTTCAAATTTTCGTTGGCTCAGTAAAGAAGGGAAAAATCGTGATGAAAATAAACAGATAATTCAAAAGAGAATTTAGAATAAAAAATTCAACCGAAATAATAGGTTGAACAGGTTTTAGTTACGTGCTGGTCAGATATCAATGGTGATTGTCTACTATCTTGTATCTAACCGCTGTAAATTAGGCGGCACGGGTGCCGGCACGACACCACAGAACTCGTCTGGCGTTTGCTCAATATTAACTTTTTAAAAGAACAAGTAACAAAATTACTATTTTTTATAGAGTTATTTCATAGTCACATTATAAAGGGTAATCTTTTTATAATTAACCAAAGCTTGGAGATATATTTGTGCCATTAAGGTTCTAATTTATTTTCTTATGACAATTGAACCCAAATCAATGGGTATTCGACCATCAACCTAATTCGACCCAGTTAAAGCGAGTTGAACCCAATGCTGACAAACTATTGTGTTGGCAACGAGTTTTGCACGTTCAAATGGTGTTTTTTTTGTAAGTAACCAAAGTTTGGAGGTGGTTTATGCCATTAAGCTTCTAATTAATTAATTTTCTAATTAAGTTCATCTCATGTCTGCTTGATCATGTGCTTCCTTTTGAGCATCTTGTACCTTTGTATGCATTAGCGATGGAGTTAGGGTGGTTTGTTGTGGATGCATGGATGAGTACAGAGTATAGACCTGTGAATCGAGGGCCATGCGCCTCTCTATTTTGTGGCTTGTAGATACGTATGCTGAGTACATGGATCAAGGTGATAACCTCTTCTTGTGCCATGATTGTGTGTGTGCCTAGATATATAGGCTGGTGTTCTGTCCATTCTTGAGCTCCTTCGTGGCTTGGGTATGGTTGGAAATAAAGTGTGGGGTGGCCGGTCATCTACCCTTTGTTTGCCGACCATCACGATGATACATGATGTATGCCCTGACTATCCCTAGGAGAGCCATTTTCCTACTTTTGGGAATTGAGGATATACCATCTACACCATCATACATTTTACTTTTGGTCAATCATTGGGCATTGTTTGCGCTTATGAGACAATAGAGATGAGTCAAAGATAGAACGATCTATGTGATTGTCGCTTATGACTTCACGATTTCGATGCCACTATGGTCTTTCCTTCTGCATATTGCCTAGTTTTGAAAACTTTTTAGTAAAGTCCACTTATTTTGGATTGGTCCCAAAGATAAGCGTATCATCTACTTACAAATATATGATGAATTGATTGTCGGAATCATCAAACATTGTATATACAATCTCTTCTTGGGTTAACATAAACCCCTAGAAAAAACCCCAGCATCAAACCGCAAGAAAAATTCAAATTTGTCTAGGATTTTGTAAATGTCAAATAGGGAATAAAAACAAGCCATTGACTATGTGATCTACTCAAAGATAATTGGTATTCTTCCATTTCTTCATTTCATGAGGCCTCCTCCTTCTTCCTCATCTTCGACTCCTTCCTCTTCCAAGTTACCTTCCATATATATAATACACCTTGATAGAACTACGGAGAAAACACATCTTCTATTGCTATCAATGAAAATTCTCAACGTCAAAAATTTTCAAGTCATCGTACTGGAAAATATTATATGTGAGGTCGAGTTTGTGTGGACAAGGTATACTTGTGATAGTTCAAATCGATGAGACTCATTGTGATAGAGTCGTCAACTACTTTCACTTTCTGAAGAAAAAAAATATTTCCACTCTCCTTAAGCCTTGACTCACTTTCCGAATCATATAGAACTCTCCCTATATGATGCATGCAATGGATAAAAAATCTCAAATCTCAAATTTGTAATTAAAAAAGTTAATTTCAAATAATTTATTTAAGAAAGTCTAAATATTACTACCAATAGGCTGGAATATGCTACTGATATATATGGTCAACAAATTGCATGACGATTTCCCACACAAACTTTGAAATGGCGACTAATTAATAATAGAATCGTTGTCCCTGCCTCCTTGTGAGACTCCCCTCCACCTTCAATTTCTGGCTTCCATTCCCGCGAAACCATAGGCCCCATTTTCTCATCCCCAAACAAACAGATCTCGCGCAAAAAAAAAAAAAAAAAAAACAACAACAACAACAACAAAAGATCTTGGTTGCACAATTAGCCTAGAACGACAAAAAAATACCCACATTGTTAAAAACAATTGACAGATAACACAAAGATAAACAGAAAATGAAATTGGAGAAGACACATATGAAACCAAGAAGCACCCATTTATTTGTTTAATAGCTTCATGCTCTTGTTTAATTACCTTGATCAAAACAAGATAATTTTTCTATCTTTCATTGTCGATTCTGTGAGCTTTTTTTGTGTAGTAAAATCTCTACGAGCTAGGTTGGTTCACTGTGGTGGGAGAAAATAAGAAAACCCATGAATGAGTTCAAATGCCATGACCAAGAGCCCTACAAGCTCCAATCATAGCACCCCTGATAACTCTGTTAGGGGTGGCGACAGGAAGAAGAAGGTAACTCACTATTAGCCCTTTTCATTTGTCATTTCATAAATTATATCATCTGATTTCCGAAAATGGGATTTATATATATGCAGTCAATAATCCCTAAGATCTTCAGCTCGAAGAAAATCAGCAGGGCAGGATCCAGCGACGACATTATTGGATTAGATGGCGAAGGACCTTCCCCGGAAGAGAACCAAGATTTGACCAAGAGAAAATCGCCGGTGGATTCGACTGCTTTAACGCACAAAAGCTTCTCCGGTAGTGTACCCTCGATTTTATGCTTCTCACACTTTAGGCCGATTAAACTTTTTTCTCGTAGATCAATTGACATAATTTACATCCGAATGGGAATGAAGGGTCATCAATGTCAAAACAACATGTGTTATATTTCTTAGTAGGAAAGTATGGTAAACAATCATTTTTTATCCATCTCCACCAGAAAGAGGGACGAGTCCTGGAATTGAAGGCCTGAACCTATCCAACTTCGAGCAGTCCATAACCTCCACCTCAGAAATCAAAGAATTTCGGTACCCCGAAAAACAAAATCCTTCTCGTTCATGGTTGCTTGTTGATTTTTTGGGTTTAGCCAAACTGTTGTTACCATTCCATCAAGCATTAACCAACAAAATCGTATCAGGATTTATGTCACAACATGGAACGTTGGAGGCAGGACACCTGATGCCAGCCTGAACCTTGAAGATTTCCTCCAAGTCGATGAATCCCCTGACTTATACGTTTGTGGGTATGAAATGTTGTGGGAAGAAATTAAGGTAATCTTTATGGCTAAGCAACCTTTGATTATTTGCTAACTCAATCTATATCCCCTTCTCTTGCTTCAGGTTTCAGGAAATCGTTCCACTCAGCGCAGGAAACGTGCTGGTGATTGAAGACAGTGAGCCAGCAGCAAAATGGCTGACACTCATAAGCCAAACGATCAATAGGACGACGACGACGAACAACAACGTTGTTCCCCCAGGCTCTCCAGTTGTGGGTCAGCTTTCCTCCAAGGCTCAGAACAAGGAATCGAAGTCCTACAACTTCTTCCAAAAGCCATCTGTGAAGGTCCTGACCAAAAACCTGATGGCAGACGCCAACCTACTAAAGATCTGCAACTGTGCTTCTGATCTTCCCACAAGAGAGAGGCAGAAGCGTGGGAAAGAGTTCAGTGGGCCACTGACCATGACCAACCGCAGCATGGGGAGTCAGGATTTCGGATTGGATGAAGAATGCCCTCCTAATGAACCTGCAACTGCTCATGCTTCCAACACCAACAACCAAATGGTGTATAGCCTAGTAAGTTGCAAGCAGATGGTCGGGATTTTCCTGTCGATTTGGGCTAGGAAGGAGTTGGTGCCACACATTGGTCATCTCAGGACGACGTCGTGTGGGACCGGGATCATGGGTTGCCTAGGCAACAAGGTTAGTTATTAGTACAGATTGCAAACAGAGGAGTGATCATTTACAGGTCCAAACCAACTCAAATCAGGCGCAAAAGTGTCCTGAAAATATTTTCGTCGCGCATGTCACAATTCCAAATACATCCAACTTAATTGTGTGCAGGGATGCATTGCTATAAGCATGTCGTTGCATCGGACGAGCTTTTGCTTTGTGTGCAGTCATTTGGCTTCAGGGGAGAAGGAAGGGGATGAACTGAAGAGGAATGCTGATGTTGCTGAGATCCTGAGGAGCATTCAGTTCCCCAAGATTTGCAAGAACCAAATCAATCGAGCCCCGGAAAAAATTATTGAGCATGAGTATGTTGCTCTTTTTTCTTTGTTACCAAATCTTTTGCACATTGCCTAATCTTCATATGTTTCAGTACCCCCCTTCTTTCTCTTTGAAATGTCTGCAGTCGAGTGTTTTGGTTCGGAGACCTGAACTACAGGATATCGCTGAGCTACGAGGAAACAAAAGTCTTGGTTGAAGAGAATGATTGGGACACCCTTCTTGACAAGGACCAACTGAATATGGAGAGAGAAGCAGGGAGGGTGTTTGATGACTTCTATGAAGGCAGGATTATGTTTGCTCCCACGTACAAATACGCACAGAATTCAGACTCCTACGCTGGAGAAATTGTGAAGAACAAGAAGAACCGTAGGACTCCCGCATGGTAATTTAATGAACGAACAGAATGTCACATTGCATTAACCCACACGAATTAACGATCGTGATCATGACTATGGCAGGTGCGATCGAGTGCTATGGCGAGGAGAAGGGATGGAGCAAATGTCGTACGTGAGAGTGGAGTACAGATTTTCAGATCATAGGCCGGTTTGCACAATTTTCTCGGTTGAGGTGGAAATGAGCGCTGTAAGAAGCAGCAACAACAAGTTCAGGAAAGGCTACTCTTGTACAGCTCCAAGGGTTCAATACGATAATGACTAACTCCCAAAGACACAGCTTCAATGGCTACTAGTACTCTTAATTAGCTAACTAACTAATACCATCCCCAAAAACATAAGAAAATGGGGTAAAGTCGAAGAAATCCAAGTTCAAGTTGTATAAGAAAGGAATTAGCCGACTTTTAGAGAGAAAATACTAGAAAATACCCTCTTGTAACTAATATCAATAGAAGGTTAGGCTAGAGCTTTTATACACACCTTTTACCAGTATTCTGTCCAGGGGCACGAGTTAGAAATCCATAGAGAGGCGGCGAAGCTCTGCTGGAGCTCGACGAGGAGTCTTCAACATCGATGCATGTATCATTGGTGATGTCTTCCTATTCTCCTATGCATAGCTAGCTCAAAATTGTTTAGGGATATAACTCATTGATGCTTGAGTTGATTTATTTTTGTATCATCTATTGTTTGAGATTTTCGATGCTATTGTCAGTGTCTTCTTCAGTTAATCAATGCCTATGATTAGATTGTATGCTACTATATGCATTATGCTTAGTACTGTCTAGGTTGTCAAGTAATTACCCTCTAGTGATACCCATTGATGATAGGAGTTTATGAGAGGAGTGATTCACGAGTAATCCACATACCAAGGCATCCAACATTGGAAACATCCGGGAGGAAGAGTTCGAGTATGATGACCCCCCTACACCTCTTATTTGAAGTTCAACAAAATACTTGGAACCAAGCATTGGACAAGATATCGTGGAGGAGAACTCAAACAAGGATGATCAACCTCAAATGAAGCACGAAGGAGAGTAGCCACTATAGGAGCACTCATCTCACATATCTAACTAAAGGAGGAGTCTCAAGCGAAGCCACCTATCAGAAATGTTGATGATGAGACCAACACAGAATCCAACCTAGGAGAGGAGCAATATACCAGCACCATTCAAGAGATCGTAAAGGAGTTCATCGAACAAAAAATATCCTCCAGCTCAATGGACTAAACTTCAAGCCACACCCATCATGAGTTCAAGTCGAGTTGGAAGGAAGTAATTGACGAAGACTACATGATCTTGGAGAAGAAGGAACCTCTACATCATCCTCTACAACAATGTAAGAAAAACAAGGAGTACTAATTCCACCTACTCTAAGTAATAAAGTTCTATGCATAGAAGAACCAAACTCTTGAAGTGGATGGACCCCTTCAAAATCCTCTTACATCATCTTTTCAAGGATCTATACAAACCTTGGAAAATAAGAACTTTTAGAAAGTAAGAGTAGAGCATGAAGAGTTCACTAGTTTCAAAGGAACTTTTGATGAAAAGATGTAAGATGATATTCTTGAAGTTGGAGACCGTGAGGAAAGCTACACAATTTTGGTGGAGATGCATTATACAGTCAAGCCAGATCTTATTGACTACTTTATGAGCATCTCTCTGCATCATTTCTAGATATCCATGAGATTGTAGTGTCATAATCAGTGGCAGACCCAGAACTTTTACGTAGGGATGCCTCTTTTAAATAATAAATTTAATAAAAATAAAAATTAAATAATACTTGACTTGTACAAGTTAAAAAAAAGTCTGCAATGTGTTTTCATATTCGATAATAATTGTAGAATACACTTGGTATCTACATTGCTAAAAAAATTGTCTCTATATATCCTACTAGACAATCCTTCACGCACTAATAGCATATTCAATTTCTAAACTTGTTCTTGATATAACCCAAAGTTGAAAAGAATCTTTCAACACTTGTCGTACAACATAAAATCAGTACAAATTCAGGGTAGCTTGAAGTTAGTTTAATTGTTGAGTTTTGAAAATAATTAGAGATATAGAATGATATTTTATTATTACACAGTGTTTAAAATCAAACAACAAATGAGTTGTAGTCTAATAGAAGTATGATTATTATTAATAATAGTGTCTTAGATTTGAATTATCCAAACTACCACTTATATTCCCATAAGCAGACTAAAAAATGAGAGTAGGATAATCATGTTTTCAAATTTCAGTGGTGTCCCTAACTATCAATTATAATTTTTTGTAAATACGTAAATTATTGTCGGGGGTTGAAAAATCGTTTTCCCAAAATTTAGGGGTGTCATGTGACCCACAAAGACCCCTCGGCCAGCCCCTAGTCATAATTAACCCAAAGAGGGGAGTATGTGAATCCCTCCTTGTATTGTCACCTCTACCACATGTCTAATGCTTATAAATCAAAGTGTCGGGTAAAAGGTACAAGATGGAGACTAAGGTGGTTTCTACTTCATGATCCACTATCAAGCCAAAGAAGAAAGAAGGTTAGAAATCAACTGGAGCCTACAATCAAGACAATGTACTTCATGGAAGCCCTAAGTTGGGGAGCTTGAAGAACAAATTGCTATCCCTAGCTCAAAGACATAAAAGAAAGAGTGTTTCATGGGAGGCAACCCATGTCTGGAATCCAACTTAAGGATGTAAAATAAAAGTGCTAGCAACGAGACAAACCGGATTTTGTGCCTATTATGATTTATTTTCATATTCATGTTGAGGAGAAGAAGCACTTGCTCTCTTTTTGTTTTGTTGCTTTCGCGTTCTGTTGTTTTTTTAACAAAACATAGGAAAATAAAATTGAGAAATGGAGTACGAAGAAGGACGACGGGTCGAACAACCGCTATCACCCGACGTGCCGTTTCCTGGTCTACGTGCCGTTTGCTGCCATGGAAGGACTGCACTTGTTTCTTATGGTAAATCCTGCATTCCTTTCTCACCTCTTAAGCCATCAGACTGCAACCTGGAAGACAGGGGCGGAGCTAGGATCTAGTGGTCGGGGGGGCCGAATTTTATTGTATAATATTCGTAAAAAAAATTAAGAAAATATTTACATTGTGAGTCATAAGCTTCAAAATTTAATTATCTAGACTCCAAAATTTAATTCTAAATTAGAAAATTATTATAAGCTCCAAAATTTCATTATCTAGTTTGAACTTTGAAATTAAAAAGTATTTGAATAAGTACAAAAGTTAAGTGATCAATCTAAATTTTAAACAAAAATTCAACCAAAGTAGGAAAACTAAAAAAATAATGTTGCTACCAGGGATTGAACCATGGTACTGGTATTCACAAATACCAAGTAGCTGCATTCCGTTAGACTAGACCAAAACGTTGTTACTCATTATTGCACGTTATTGTTATTCTACAATAGGTAACTTCTTCAGAATTTTCAAAATTCCCGATATTTTTACACGCGATCTCCAAAATTCTCACACAAGGTAGCTCCGCCCCTGCTGGAAGATGTGACGAAGGTCATAACTTGGAAGAGAACAACATCATCAAGGTCATCCTCGTCTCAAAACCCACTCGCCATTGGGGCAAAAGATGATGTCTCTGGTAGTGATAGTGAATTTATTGAAGAGTTATGCATGATTTCAGGAAGCCATTCCTCCACTCTTGACCCACTATATGCTTGGGAAAGAAAACTTTATGATGAAGTTAAGGTACAACACTCCCGCAAGTTGTGTTCTTGATACTAGTTTTCTTGCGGGGCATTTTATATGATGGTTCAGAAAATCGACTACTTTGAGCCTCTTGCTGAACTGTAACTGGCTTTAATTAGGGATGGCAATTTACCCACTCATGGGTAATTTTGCCCAAACCCAAGTAGACCCATTTATTATGGTAGGGTTTGGGTGATGTGTGTATGGGTTTGGGTTTGTATATGGGTTTGGGTTAGATATGGATATTATCTAAATGGGTATGGGTTGGATATGGATATCCATTTACTTGAGGGTGTTTTAACTACACATGCAAAAATTGGACCTATTTGTAAAACTTGAAAAGTTTAGGTACCAAAATGTAAGACCAAAAAAATTTAGGTACCAAAACGTAATTTTCCATAGATATTTTGAGGACTTATATGCAAAAAAAATTAAATTAGGTACTAAATGTGCATATCTATTAAGTTTAGGTACCAAACTGTAATTTGTATTTGGACATGGGTACAAACCAAAATCCATTTGTTATAAACCTAACCCAACCCAAAGTAAATAGGTATGGGTACAAACCCATCAAACTTTACCCATATCCATATATTTGGGGGTCGTTTGGAAGTTGTGATTGTTAGAATTGTGTTTGTTGAATACATCTATTGTGCACAATACAATGTTTGGAAGTGCCAAAGTGTTAAACAATGCATGCATTGTTTTAGGTAGGTCCCACCAACAATCACAAAAAATGATGCATTATACAATCTCAACTAAAAGTTGAGATTGTTGGTTTTAGATTTGTGTCAACTTTTTCCTTCCATTTATATCCCCAATAGTTTTTGTCTTATTCTAAAAGTTAAGGATAAATGTGACATTCCCCATAAAAGTAACTTTATGTAAATCAATACATAAAATAGAATCTCAACAACCAAACAATGTATTGTTAAAATGTATCTATTGTTTCAATACATGCATTTATATTATGGTGATTCATTACAATGCAACGATTTAACATTCGCAACTTCCAAACGATCCCTTGGATTTCATACCCAACCAATTGGATAGTAAAATACCCATGGATAGAGGTGGCAATTTCAATCAAATCCACTAATCCAATCCATCAATCCATTAAAAATATCCACCTAATCCAATCCATTTAAATCCAATCCATTTGATCCAAATCCAATTGGATTGGTGGATTCATGGATTGGATCCATGGATCATTGGCAAATTACAGTTTAGTACCTATAATTTTTATTTTTTACATTTTGGTACCTAAAATTTTATTTTTTATACGAAAAATATTATTGGAAAATTACGTTTTGGTACCTAAAATTTTTCATTGTGACATTTTAGTACCTAAACTTTTTACATTTTACATATTGGTCATTGGTTGAGGATGTCATTTGGATTTATGGATAATCCACCAATCCACTTGATCCAATCCATGAATCCACCAATCCATTAGATCCAATCCATTTGATCCATGGATCCACCAATCCACCAATCCAATTCATTTGCCACCTCTACCCATGGATATGGGCAAAATTGTCATCCCTAGCTTTAATCACATACTCGCATTGTTGCATTCTGCTCCAGGCCAGTGAATGTACTAGGAAGGAGTACGATCAGAAATGTGATAAGCTGAGACACCAATTTGCAAAAGATCATAGTGCACATGTTATCGACAAGACTAGGGCGGTAATGAAAGACCTACACTCACGGATAAGAGTCGCAATTCATTCCGTCGACTTGATATCAAAATGAATCGAGAAGATGAGGGACGAAGAACTGCATCCTCAACTCCTGGAGCTAGTTCAAGGGTAAAGTCACATGTTCATTTGGTGCTTGTTGTTTACCAGATTCTCTGCCGGGATTGGTCTGTCGGCATCAAATCCTTGCCATCTGAGGAACTCAGCAATGCTATAAAATCATTCTTGGCCGACTTGGATCAGTTAATGCGTCATCAACAGACTGCAGAAAAGAATGATGGTGATGGAGCCCACCAAGAAACAGAGACCAAATTTGATGGTGAGAAGAAATACGAGGATGTATCTGCAAACTTGAGCGGCATCCACGCCAGTCTAGCAAATGTTCTAGATAAACTAAACAAGTTTTCTGAAGCTTCTCTGAAAATGTACGAGGATATTAGGCAAAAGAGTGAAACTGCGCTGAGTTGCATACTCAACTTGCAGACCGGTTAGATTCTGAAGCAGTCCTAATGACGATATGTATAAGCTGGCAGCATTCTGAGTTCGGTAGAGATATATATAATGGAAATATAACTCTCTTGTAAATGTTAAGTACTGGGTTTTATGTTGTTGAGAGTTGAAATGGAGAAAGTGTAATTGAAAAGTAAACTATTTTATGTTCTACAGTACTTATTTTCCTGTAGTAAATCTCAGTAACTCGTATATATGTTGAATATAGTTGGTACAATGTTTAAGATGCCAATCCTGTATATCTGTCGAGCTCCTTCGTCCTTCCCCAGTTCTTCGTTCCTCATGCTAACCAACTTGAGCTTCAATGGTGAATGTCTATATATGATATAAAAACCTATAACTATCTCCAGCTTGAATTCCACTGTAAGCACTTTACTTATGGCGATGCGACGGGTACCGATTTTCTAGAATCCAACATAATTGGTATACTGAGAATAAGCTCCTGACTGCATTGCAATTGGTGCCCTGGTGACATTATCTGGAAGATCAAATGCATCTACCAATTCCCTCGCAACATTCCTAACCTGGAAACTCAAGTACTCTGCCAGCTTGTGGATTGCCTGCACCGCAAGGAACATGAACGAAATAAGAGAAATCTTTCTTTTGGATTTACAGGCCTTCAGCTTCGAGAAGTTCTTTCAAAACTTAATGGATAAAAAGGAGATACCATGCAGAGTCTTGAACTGAAACTGAAGTATCACCATCAAATTTAAATTACCTTAGCTTTGTTTGGTGCAACGTAGTCAACATTGCGGTAAGTTCCAATATCATTCCATATTCTGTCCAAGGCGTAGAGATCACACACAAGTTTCAGAGCAGAACGTGCACTTGGATCCGGACAGCTATTAGCACAGACAAAACAAGGTAGAGACATTAGCTAAACAGTTATCTAGATGCACGAAGGATCATAGCAAACTAGAAGGTCTGGTATAAGTAGTACTTCTGCACAGCTTCAATGAACTTTGCAAGGATGACAGTCTCAATATGAGATTCGGCAAGGGTGAGAAGATGATTCAAGCACCGGTTCCAAGCACCAAACCCTCCAAGTGTCGTAGAGTGCTTGCGAAGACGGACTGCAACACTTTGGAGCAATCGAGATGTTCGGTACTGGAAAAGACATGCACGAATATTGTTGTTAAATCTGCTTGGCGATGTATTAATACGTTTAAGCTAGTGAAAATTAAGCACTACTAACTCTGAAAGCATCCAATTGGAACTTAGGATCGCGCAAGTGATCTTCGCCTTCCCATCGTGCCGTTACTGGGTTTGGCTGAGATAAGTATGAATTCATCGACTCTCTTAGATAGTTCCATGTCACTGTCAGAGCCCCGCCTTGGAACTTCTCCTGGTACCTCTTCAAGAGATCGCCTGCAACCTGCATTCCAAATTTTATTAGAACTGAAGAAAAATGTGTTCCACTGGATATTTTTTTGCTTGCTAGAGTGAATTGCAAAACTACCTGCTGGAGGAGCACCGTGTTATCCCCTTCAAATGTCTGGAAAATATCATGATCATTTCTCAGAGTACCAAACCGATTTACAGCAGCATATCCATGGCCACCACAAGATTCCCTGCACACATTCAGCGACCGAGCAGTATACGACGTCACATAAGCTTTGAGCCCCGCCGACAGTGCATGGACATCTCCAACCAACTGTTCGTCGTGAGTTCGTTTCATCTCAGCATACTTCTCCACCAAATAGGACGTAGCAAAGTGGAAAGCATAAGTTGAAGCGAGCATGGGCATGAGCTTGTGCTGGTGAGACTGATAATCAAGGATGCTGACTTCAGGCTTACTAGGCGGGCCAAACTGCTGACGTAGCAATGAATAACGGATAGCGATTGTGCCAGCAAGCTTGAGAACTGCTACAGAGGAATACGCAAGCCCCACTCTTCCTCCCACGAGCTCACCAAGCGTAGCAGCAAATCTTTTGTTTACAGTGGGAAGGGAACTTGTGTACTTTCCATCTCGAGAGACGTCACCGAATCTGTTGAGGAGATTGTCACGAGGGATCCTTACTGAGTTGAATCTCAGTGCTCCATTGTCTACCCCATTGAGGCCAACCTTTTGGCCACAATCGTGTATCTCGACACCTGGAAGCGTTTCGTGTGTGTCTAGATGCCGTATGGGGACAATGAATGCATGAACACCCATGTCTGAAACTGCCTTGGGGTCGTGAGATGGCAGCATTAGTCGGGCGAAAACACTGGCGAATTTCCCATGAACTGCAGCATTACCAATCCACCATTTTATGGCCCCATCGTTTGGGGTGTTAATTATGAATTCGTCGGTTATTGGGTCAAATGTTGCAGTAGTTTGCAGTGCCTGCACGTTTGAGCCTTTAGGGGGAGCACAAGGAGCAGGAATATATGGTCAGACATGTGAATTTAACATTTATATGCACGGAGTTACAGAACATGCAAACAACATTGAAAGATTAATAGTGTGACGACCAAAAGCTAACCATGATGGAGCTCTGTCATAGCGAAGCAACCTGGATAGTCCAAATTATCTATGCCATCGAAATACTTATCCTTGTGCTTTTGAGTTCCGAGGTTGATCACTGAACCACCCCAAAGACTGCAGACAACATAACATATGTAAAGGGGAAAACTGGTTTAGACACAACATATTTGCATATAGAAGTGAAGTTCTGTCAAATAATCTTCAACAAATCTAGAAAAATGACTTGTGAGAACTTGGGATATTCTATAGCTTTAGGTGGGCCGTAGTAAAGGATATCATATCATTTATGATCTTCAGATGTACAGCTTCAATGTTACAACAACCGCCCTTCCCATTACTTGGGGAGCAGCTTCCCTCCGGACATTACATTGATTCTCAAGTTCTTTTGTATGGAAATGAGGTAACAAGAAAATGATGTATGCTAGAAATTACAAAAACTCCATACTTCCATCTGTCTACCGAAATGAAATGCTGCATTAAATTTTTCTGCTTTTGAAAGAGTCCAACAGTAAACTGAGTCCACCAAACAGATCAAATTTCGTTTGTACCAGTAGTTACCTAATCAATTGGCACCCCAAATTAATCAAGTCTCACCAGCAAAATGGAAATGTAACTACCGGTCCTGAACTAAAAACCCTTGTTACCATCTGCAAAACAACAAGATTAGGGCACAATTTTGATTTGTGTTCAGCTACTTCTGGCTTTCCAGCCACCTTGAACATGCTACACCTAATACCGTTCAAATTGAACACTTGATGCAGCCAGATTCAAAACTTGAGCAAAACCCAGTTGTTGTTTAGAAAAATAAACAAGCTCAGAGATCACCTGTATTGGACGCCCATCTTGATCCCAAGCGACATATCCACGCTGCCAATAGCCTCGAGAATGGCGAAATACTTGGCGGGATCATCAGCCACATACCTAAAAGGCTTGATGCCAGCCTCCCTGACCAAACCCACAAGCTGCCGCCAGCAGAGCTCCCGGTGGTCATTTTTGGAAATCTCCAGCGGCGTCTGTAGCTCCGGCCTGGACTCAAAGTACTCGAAAACCTTCTCCTGTACGTCCCTGTGGGGACCTCTCATGTAGCCCGACAGCTTCCCGGTGTCCACCTCCAGCTTCGGCCTGGCGCAGGTCGCCATCCCGATTTGCCGGTCGCCGTCCGGCAAGGTGCGGGGGATTGGGTTCAGGTGCAGGGAGAGACGCTCGATTCGGCGGGACACGATCTCGGTGTCGTCGCCGGATGCTGGGTTCGGATTGTTCCGGGGTTCCATTTCGTTTTTATATCGGAATTGGGAAGCAGGAGAAGAAAAAATCGAAAAATTGAAAAGCGTCTCGTCGATGAAGATTGGATTTCAGAGTTTTTGATGGGAAAGCCGCTGCTGCGCTCCCCGGGTTTATACGCTACTGCTGCGGGTGGGTGGATGGTGACGTGGCAGTACGGTTAGGAAAACCAAGTGGCGGAAACGGAATGGTGTGGATTTGGCAGTTAATTATGGCGCGTGATTCTATGTTAGTTGTTTAACCGATATGTTCACATGGAGAGTTTTGTTTTCATTGGCGAAGAATAAAAGAGACCAAATGGGACAACTTTTTTTAATGTTCTCTAATCTCTACTCTTCGTTTTTTAATATACATTCGGTTTCCTTATGGATTAGGCTGATGAGTGGGACAATACAATGGACAATCATATCCAAGATCCATAGCCATCTTCCCAAGATTGGATTGCTAAATTGGTATGGCAATTATGTAACTATATCAAGTTTGGTTTGGGGTATTTGTATATACATAATTCAAGTTATTATTTTCAATTGTATGTAATATATGGGACGCATTAACAAAAATAATTATATGATTTGATGTATTTACTAGAAAGATAGAACACACATTTACCCTAGACAATCAAGTTTATGTACCAGGAACGATGCGGCATATATTCGATATAATCGTGTGTCATCCGACCACAATAAAAAGGGGAATACTGATTGATACTTATTCAGTTATTCCCCTAACCGGTAGACAAAATCAAGGAATAAGTGTGTTCCTACGCCTCCTAAATGCGTCTAATACCTATTGTCTAGTCAACCATTTAGGGTAGGGCGTACGATGCCTGAAATTAAGGGCGTCTGTAGCTACATGAGATTGTACGTTCAAAATATCGATTTGAGAAGATTGATTCGATAAAGAAGAAGCATCCTCTTTCTCTTTCTTCTAAGGAGGAGTAAGAAAAGTTATCTATAAATAGAGCTCCCACCCTCACTCTCGCAAACCACAACATTCAAATCAAATTTCACTCGGAATATCTTCTTCCGATGAGCAAGACATTAATGTGTGTTTACACCTAAAGGTTATTTGATTTTATACATCACACTACTGCGGTGTCGTGAGGTTAACAATGCTGGGAACTAAACAACATTGCGGTGACGCGATGTCGCGGTCACGAGTTCAGCGGCATTGCGAGTTTGACAATGACATGAAGCTAAACAATGTCGCAAGGTCAGTGGCATCTTGAGATTTAGTGACACTTGCATATCTAAACGATGTTGCGAACTAAACAACATCGCAGTGGAGAGCAATGTAGAGTTCTGCAGCGTTGCTAGTTCAACAACGCCGCTGAGCTAAACGATGTCGCGAACTCAACAAGGTTGCAAGCTAAACAATGCCGCGAGTATAACGGTGTCGCGAGTTCAACAACGTCGTGGAGCTAAGCAACGTCTCGAGTAACTCGCTGCGTTGCGGGTTTGACAATGGCACGAGCTCAAAACCACATGAGATTGAATGATGTGGATCTAAACAACATCGCGAGCTAAGTGATTTTACTAGTTCGGCGATGTTGTGGAGGCAAACAACAATGTCATTTTGCCCAAACTAGTTTGGGGATCCGATGACTTCGCATCGAGGCCATGTGGCGCAGCGTTTCAAACCACGATGTTGATTTTACGAGCTCGATCTCGATAAGAAGGAGAACAACGTCGCAGCTCAAGGTGGGAACCAACAACATCGTGTGGTTGACGAGACTGCGAGCTCAACAATGTTGCGAGATCAACGATGTTGCGAGTTTAGACCTTGTGTGGTCTACAACGCCGAGAGATCAACAATCTAGCGGCGATTACGCAATGGCGAGGAGTGAAACGACAATGTATTTTAATCGATGGTGAGGTGGTGGTTCGAACCGTGGTGCATATCTTGGAAGGCATGTGAGTCTCACGAGAAACAAGTTGAAGATAAGAGCAAGGCGGTTACAAAGCAGTTCCACAGAGAAGTTACATGAAGACTACGAAAGTGATTTAGATAAAATCATCGAAGCAAGGAGAGAGAAGAACAAACAAAAAATAACACAAAACTTATCTGTCAAACTTACCTTTTCTCTGTAACTCCCTTGCGGAGCTCTCCTCCCAAGAAGGATCTCCATAGCCGTAGCAGTAGTCGTAGTCGCGGAGCTCTCCACGGGAATCTCCATAGGAGTAGTTTTAACGTAGATTCCCCAAAAACTCAAATACCCCCGTTCGAACATTGTTTGAAAAGGTGTGAACCGAGTAACAGTCGTTCTTGGTTAGAAGTCAGAGGTGCATCTATCAAATCAACACCGCCGGGTGGATATTTGACGATCGTCTTGGTTTTCAGAAGTCAGAGGCGCACCGATCAAATCAACACCGCCTGATGAATATTTGACGATCATTTTGATTTCAGCAGTCAGTGGTGCATCCGATCAAACGGGCACCGCAAGAGTTTCCACCGCGAAAAAATCAAATCAACATTGTCCGAAACGATTCGACACTAGCAGTAGATATTTGGTTTCGCGTGAAACATTGTGTCGCCTTTTAAACTCACTTTTTGCACCAACCTTCTTCCTCGATCCTATCCACTTAATGTGGACAAATTATTTCCTCTGTCTAAGTGTGACCTTTTTATAAAAATGTCCATTGAGCTCGAGTTTGAACTTTGAACCCATACAATCGCCCACAATTGCTGGATCAATAAGAACTTTGAACCCATACAATCGCCCACAATTGCTGGATCAATAAAATGGATGACCTATCTACCCAGATTTTGCTCTTCATACCATTCGGCGTTCACACAGAGTATGGGCCAGAACCAGGAGAGGTGCAGACTTATTACTATCCGGACCAGAGAACCTACAACAGATCTCTAGCTCAACATCTGGAGCTCGGCCCAAAACTCCTCACTATCATCACCAACCTCATTCGGCAGAGCCTTCACTTTGCTGAACTCATGCACAATCAGTAAGCAATCTAAATATAATTCCACATCCACAGAGAGAAAATGGAACAGAGATTTGCATGACATGTCGAGAATGGTTGAGAACTGAGAGAGCAGCATACATGAGCTAAATAGCTTCTCCATTTCCGTAGTCTTTTTCAGCGTAGATCAAAATCTCAGTGCTTCTGTTTTCCCATAGCTTAACTGATGCTAAATTGCTAACGAACTCTCTCAGAATGTGATCCAAATGATCCGCCGTGTCCTCGAGATGAAAATCTTTAGAGGCATGTATTTTTACTGAAAAAACAGAATTGATCTCTACTGTTTCTAACTTCCTTCTAAATTACAGAATTGAGAAGGGTGGCCGACCAACCATCCTAGTGCACGGTTCAGCTCCCTGTTGGAGCTTACTTGTTGTATAGGTAGACGACGCTGAAGATAAAGAACCCAGCCATCTGCAAGGCACCAGCAAACCGTGTTTTAATTACGAGGAAGAACACGAACAGATAAAAAAAAAATATCGACTTTCTGAGAGATTCTGGTTTTACCGTGGTAAAGGAAGCTCCATAATATGGGAAGGCAGTTGGGATGAACCTCTCATACTCATTGTGTCTGAAGGGGCGAACCGGAATCTGCAATCATAAATTGCCAACTGATTCAGTTCATTACACAATCATCCTCGAATAATTATTGGTGTTTACACATTATGCTGAATGACAACTCAATATCTCCAATTGTTCCCTCGTAGTGTAAATTAAGAGGTACCACAAAAAGGTTTACGCATGTGAAGCGGGCAGGGAGAGGAGCTGATAGGCCAAAGAGTTCACCTGTTTAGAAAGTGACAAACTAGTGTACCCAAGCTTCTGGTATTCAACCTTGAATTGGAAGACTCCGTATACATCAGGCACCTTGAACGATGTATGGTAAAGACCCTGTTCAATCAGTAGGAAGGGATAGCCCACAACATTAGCTTCCGGATGGTTAACAAGAACGAAAGCAAGGGAATGAAGGGAAAGTTTTACCTTCTTGTCAGTTGATAGAGTTTTCAATACATATGGGCTCATCATATAGAACTGAACCTGAACATCATCAGCCACATATGGCTCCCAGCTATTCCCAGACCACTCAAAAATGTCCACATAAAATTCCTTCAAGCACATAGCAACATTTAGACTGATACTTCAATATTGGATTAACAAACCTCCGAGATACATATCGCAAAATAGATAGCAAGTAAGAAACACTCACAAGATCGTCTTTGATCCTGTACATTGCAGGTTCTCCAGTCTCCCCGACTTTTAGGTGTCTGAGGTTTCCAGCCTGGATATGCACCACAATTTAACATGACAGTGTGTAAGCTAAGGCTACCAACGCAATAAGTAAGAAGGGGGGGAGCAAATATAGTGTGACGAACTAGTGACCATGATGCACCTTCAAGTGACCTCTTTCATGGAAAAGCCATTTGCTAACTTCAGTCACAAACTGCTCATTTCCAGACTTTTCATACCTATTATCAGAATCAGCTCATGTATCATTATTCAGCCCCAGTAAGCAGCTTCTCTCAATACAGACATTGCATACAACCACGTGTACATTGTAAATGTGCATATTCACAAGTTTTGCTACCATCCACCTACATGTACGAGGCAATAGATTCCACTAATGGATGACTGACAATAGGGCCTGAGGCTAAACACATAATAGCAGGCTCAACAAAGACACGCTCACCATTCATCTGGGTCTGCTCAACCAAACCCAAACAAGTAGTCGATATCTGTTTCTAAGTGTAGGGAATTGGAAGTGTTTCAGCAAGAGCTTAGCAACTTATGTCAAACATGCTTCTACCTGACAAACACACAGGACATGCCTGCACAACCATACCTAATAGGATAAGAGTAAATAAGATTGCTCTGACTTTAATGCAAGAGATTGAACATGCCGTAGCTTAAAAAGGTGCAAAAAGGTATTCTGGCTGAGTTATTCACATTCATAGGCAGCAGTATAAGTTTGCAAGAAGTAAAAGGGTAAAAGAGATAAATCAAAGCTCGCCCACTTACTTTGAAGGACTCCCAGCTTTCTGCACACTTGATTTCATATACCTGATTGGTAGAAGGTAGAGTCAAAGACCAACTCAATAAACACCAGATACTTGGATCTAGCAGCAAGAGAAACAAGCATACCGATTGCTGAACAAATCCAACGACCCAGATATCATAATACGGGCATTGTTCCTTGCCTGCATCATATAAAGTTAAATATCATTCTTTCTCTGGGACGTTCCAGTATCAAGAACGCTCAATAATTACTAATCGCCAACTGCACCTCACAACGAAAAAATGCAACTTCTAATCCTTCTGTAGACTAGATACCTATAGAGCAGAAACAAGAAACCTAAACCTAGATTGTCGATTTAAAAAAAACAGTTACCTGCACAACTGAAACCAACGAGATTGCAGATCCAGTCAGCGACGGCGGACTTGACAACTTGGCAGATGGATTAGCTGAATATGCTGATGGAGAACCAGATAGGACTTTCAATGCCTTGAAAACATAGGGAATAAAACATAGCAAGTTAGCTACCATTTGTTCCAGACATAGTATATGCCAAACCAAGCAAGTTGATATTTGCGCTTACCAGAGTGTTTGCAGCATTCAGAGAATGCGCGATACCTTTAAAGAGAACTGGAGCCTGCTCAACCGAAAACCATTGCAAAATTCATTAGTTTGGCACTGGATCTTTCCACTCAAGGACTTCACCCCTGCAGGAGCTACTACCCTAAAAGGCTAAAACAAACATATAACAAATCAAAGATCCAATGAACAACCTCAATTTTAGTCTTTCCGAGGATCACATCCGATCTTATTAGTTCATCAGCTGCAATCAGCGTATGATCACCATCAACATCGGACACTGCATAGCCTTGGTGATCAATAACCATAGCTGAAGGATCCTACACCCACAACATTACCATGTTGGTCATAAGAATGCAACTGATTCTAGAGAACCATGAAAATGGACAATCAAATAACTTCATTTCAAATAATTTTAATTTACAACTTTCATACAATTCCCGCACAGACCTCATCGAAATCGACTCCGCACTCCGTCGCGACACTCTTGATCAAATCAGAAGCGGTAGTATCAGCGGCAACGATCAAATCATGACCGGAGTCAACGAAGTCAAGCACAGCTGCAACGTCCAATGCACCTCCAAACCCTATAACCCAAATCGAAGCGCACGAAATGCGGGCGCGGCGAATTAGATATAGCAACAATAAAAAATAAAAAAAATTTGACGAGAAATTCCACAAAACACCGGTGGCTTACTCTCAACTGAGGGGGCGAATAGGATCAGGCCATCGTACAAGTACTGGCCATATCTCTGGAGGGAGAGCTTGGGATCATCGGCGAGCTTGAAATCGAGATCGAAGCCACGGGACTTGAGGGAGGTGAAGAAGATGGAATGCGAGGATTTGAGGGAGAAATCGTCGAGCAATACCAAGATCCGGCGGTCGGTCGGGGTGTCCGGCGAGAAGGAGTGGGAGAGGAAGGGGAGAAGTGAGAGTGTGAGAGTGAAGAAGATCGCGAGTTTCGCCATTGGAGCGGATCTCGTCAGTGGAGAGGGTTTTGGGGCGGACCAAGAGATTTTGTGAAGCCTCTTTCCTCCGAAGTAACCCAAGTGAAGACAACGCCTAGATGGATTCGTGGGTGGAGTTTCGTGTCGATAACTCGATTGTCGAAGCTGCGGGATTGCTAACTGCTCGTTGCTCGATACGTTTCGAACTGCAGGCTGCAATTGTCAAACGGGTTTAAAGTTTTTTTATTTATTTATAATCCGTGAACATCAGCAACCCACATACCACATGAGCGACAGCGGGGCCTATTAAATCTGGGGTACTTGCATACTAATCATCAAGGACTTTGTTCTGGTGCAGTGCCCGGCGTTGTGCTACCGTCATCAGGGAGACTTCTTCTCATATACCAAGGGTGCCTCCAGGAACCAGGGATGGCAATGGGTCGGGTCGGGGGCGGATAGTGCATATCCGTTACCCTACCCAAAGTACTTCGGGTTTTACCCATACCCATACCCACATGTGAAACGGGTAGAAAATCAAAACCATGCCCATACTCGTTCGGGTTTCGGGTATCCGCGGTTATCCATGGATATTAATTTCTCTTCATAACTCCAACCAATATGTTAACATTCACACGTATTCTTATATTAAGTAAGAGAAAAAGTACAACAAGAATTCACTAGAATGAAGAAAATTAACTAAAACAACACAATTTCATGAAAATGTTATATTTATATGCTAAATATAAAATATGTTAGAGAAAAATAATGATTATTTCTAGACAAAATACATATGCATGTGTATAACGGGCGGATTCGGGTTGGATAGTGAGAAACCCATGCCCACCCATTACCCGCAATATTCGGGTTCGGGTTTTACCCTACCCGACTAGGCCGGATTCGGGCGGATATCCACGGTTACGGATATTTTTGCCATCCCTACCAGGAACACCAAGAATACAGTACTGAGATTCGAACTTAGGACATTATCACATCTCAAGCCCGAAACCCAGCCCTTTACCAACTAGGCTGTCTTACCATCGGCAACGGGTTTAAAGTTTAAACCAAGGTTGTCGACCTAGTTTTAGTGGTGTGCATTCGGTCGGTTCGGTTCAAATCGAACCAAACAGATGATTACCGATTCCCCAAAATAGTGCATGGGACAAATTGAATTCGAATCGAAAAATATTACGGTTCAGTTCATCCAAATCGAAATATATCCCGATTCTGCTTTAAGATAACACCTGAACTCTCACACTTACCCTATATATCTCCCCATTTTCCATTTATGTGGATAATAGAATCTTGGCCTTTCTCTCTCTTTTTCTATCTGTCACTCGCTCTCTCCTCATAGAACAACGCAAGCGACGATTTCTCCTACCCTCTCTAGACTCGACGACAACGTCGATTAACGAAGAGAACAACTTAGGCGGCAATGGCGATCGACGAAGAGGACAACCCAACGACAGGCGGCGGCAACGATTGCATGTAAATTTTGGTTTGTTTTTTCCTTTGATCTTTAGTAGCATCATTATCTCCTTTGTCTCTATTTTTTATTTCGGTGTGCATCTACATCTCTCGTCGACGCTGCTTTTTTGTATTTGAGGCTTGGGAACTATCTCGTCACAACCACTACCCACCATTTACTCTCCGCCGTCGTCTCCTCTACGGTGGCTATTCTCCTGGTCATCGCGAACATGAAGGACACAGAGAAAGTCCCAAATCTAGATCCTAGATCTAGTTTCCCCTCCTTCTACTGATTTCTTCGTGCTCTGCATGTTGCTGATCTTCAATTCTTCTCCGTCTCCTCGTTTTGCTTCTTCAATTAGGGTTTTTATGGATTTTGCCTCTGTTTGTTCTATGAATGTGTTTTGTTCTTTGCTTTGCAGGTTTTTGGTTGTGAGACTGGATCGGATGGAGGGAATGGGAAGGGGTTGGTCAACGAGTGGCGATGAGGGCTAGGCAGCTCAGCCGGTTGTGCTCTGCGTGGGATGAAGTTGTTGGAGAGCACGATGAAACGAGATCCTCGAGAAGATAACGGCAGAGTGGAGCAGTGACCGCCGTGAGTGGGAAAGGGGGCGGGTTGCCTAGAGGGTAGGGTTATGACTTGTGTCTTGTGAGGGTTTGGGCTTAGTTGAGTTGTGGGGAGAGTTGGGTTGTAAGGGGAGGGTTTGGGCTCAATTGGGTTATGGGGAAAGTTGGGTTGTGAGGGTTTGGCTATGTATAATAATTTTTTGGTTTCTCGGTTCAGTGTCGGAATGTCGGTTCGGCCAACACGACTCTGGCTCCCAAACTATGCATTTTCTGCTTCCAATTTTTGAACTGAACAACATAATTTTGATTTTGGTTTCAGTTTGAAGTCAGTTCGGTTTGGGTTTACAGAACCGGATGCCCACCCCTACCTGGTTTAAACCAAGGTTAACAACTAGTTTAGCCCGTTGGTATGGACAAATAAGTCATATTTTTTCAAACTCCATCATTTTTCACGCATCGAATCTTTCGGATCCTTTCCTTCTTTCAGAAGCATTTCCAGGTCCGCTAAGGGAAGAGTGAGGCGTCAATCATATAGTAAGTAAGAAAGAACACACAGTCAAAAATAAGTCTTTCTTTATGGTGTCTTATAGAAATGTTATGATATGTAGGATCGGTTTCACCCGGTTTAACTTGAAGATATGAAAGCGTTTTTGTATTGTACACATAACATATATATGAAAGGATTAATGTTCGAAGTTACGGTTTTTCTTAAGTCTGTGTGCTTAATAGCTTTACTAGGGGTGGCGGCTTGGATGTGGTTTGCTCATATTTACTTTCTTGTACAGTTTCAGCAACAACTTCTTCTTTTAATATTGTTGATTGTCAACATCCTTCACTAGGAAGGTTTGTCGTTATGTTCGTTCATCTGAGTTGTGAAGTAGGAGCCCGTTAAGCTGAATTTAATGAAATAGCTATGTTTGCTTCGTTGTGTGTGTTGCCTCTTTTTGTTATTGTTGATTTTAATTTTATCAATGTTAGACAAGATAGGTGGAAGACCCCATGCTTGTAGCATTTGATCAGTTGGTGAATTTCTTCATTTCACCAATTTCAGTGACTTGGGCTATGTAGTTTCTCCATTCACATGGTCTAACCAGCGTCTGGTTCTAGGCATATCCCGAATCGCCAGATGTTTGGCTAATGTTTTTGTTCTTAAATTTGGCAGCTCTTTGTTCAGCTTGTCTCGCCGCCTGAGAAACAACCGCGACGCTTCCACTATGACAAATGTTGGGATGCCAACCCTGAGGTTTTCAAGCATTTTCCCGTCTACATGGCATAAGGAGGTTCATGACACGACTCAGTTTCGAATTTAGTCTCGGCTGAAAAATTTGTGTCATGCCTTGGTGTGATGGTCACGTACATGTATGTCTAATTTCACAAGATGCATTCGGGAGCTTTGGGTGGCTATTGAAGGTGCTCGAGAGGCGAGAGATGTGGACTGGGACCATATTAAAATTTTGGAAGAGCAATTGGGTTCGGCTTATAAGCAGGAAGAACAGGAGATGTGAATACACGTTTCTTCCATCTAACGACGTTGCAGCGTCACCGAGTTAATTCTATCTTGACTTTGAGGGATGAGCAAGGCATAGTTCAAACCAGGAAGAGGAGAAAGCGCTTGTTGCTATAGCATATTATCATAAGCTTTTCACCTCCACTAGGGATGAACCTACCAGCTTTGTTCGCATCTTGGGTCTCACACAGATTGTCACTGGTGATATGAATGAGGTTCTCACTTTGCATGTCACTCAAGATGAGATTCGTTGGGCATTTTTCAGTATTGGTAAAAAGCAAACCCAGGCTCAGATGAGTTTACAACTACGTTTTCCCAACAATATTGATCGCAAGTGGAAGCTGACGTTTGTGTTGTGGTTCTATCTTTCTTCACCACTCGACCACTCCTCCATAGTATCAATCACACATGGTTTGCTCATTCCAAAGGTGTCCAACGCTGATATAATGCGCCAAATGCGCCCTATCAGTCTTTGCCAGGTTCTTTACAAAATTCTTGCTAAAATTCTTGCCTCGCGTCTTAGTTTAGTCCTTCCTTCCATTGTTATTCCTTATCAGAATGGCTTCATTAAGGGGTGGTCTATATCTGACAATATTTTCATTGCCTAGTAGATTATGCAATTGTTAAAAACTATGGTGCGGGGTAAGGAAAAGTGGATGGCATTGAAATTAGACATGGAGAAAGCTTACGAATGGGTGGAGTGGAACTTTCTTCTTGTGGTATGGGATTCAATGCTTGTTGGTGATAATGGGTTCTATCATGCATCACTTCTGTTAATTTTCCGATCCTCATAAAGGGGTGGAGTGTGGATATTTTCATCCTCAATGTGGGATACATCAAGGTGGTTCCCTTTCCCTCTTTTATTTGCGTTATATTCTGAAGCCTTTTCATCTTCGATATTATCTGCGATTGCGTGTTCTTATCTACACGACATTCGGGTTCATCGCTTAGCTCCTACCATTTCTTATCTTTTTTTCGCCGATGACACTTATTGTTCATTCGTGAAACCATCCCAAAATTTGCTAATCTTCTCCATATGTTCAATGACTATGCAACTATGAGTGTTGAATGTGTGAACTTCGCCAAATCTTTCGTCTGTGTGTCATATGACACAAAACATGAATTTGATGCCCTCGCGTCGTTCTTGTGAGTCTCTTGGATGAGAATTGGTGATCAATAACTTGGCCTTTCATTTCCAAATACAATGTTCGAAGACAATCACCTTTTACTTCGTTGAGGAGGCTTTGGCTGCCCGAATCAAGAGTTGGAAGATGAAATTGTTATCATTGGTAGGGAAGGAAGTGGTCATCAAGGTTGTTGGCTCGGCTGGGCCAATTTATGATATGTCATCTTTTCGACTTCCTTCTTCGACTTGTCGCAGGTGTAATAGTTTGCTATCTAGGTTGTGGTGGGCGGGCCAGGACAAGGAGAATGGCATACACTGGTTTTCCAATACTGTCGTGTGTCATAGTAAGTTTGTTAGGGGCTTGAATTTCAAGATTTCGGTTGTTTCAATGTGACTTCGCTTGCTAAACTTGAATGGCGCCTACTACTGACTCTGGAGAGCTCCTTGGGGCAACTTTACAAAGTACATTATCATCCCCACCATCACTTTCTTGATGCTACAGCTGGTGCTCGCCCATCTTGGGCC